GTGTTCCTGAGGCTGCCAGGGCCAGGATTTGAAGCTTATGGTTGGTCGTGTGAGGTCTAGTTCCCTTCACCACCAGGGTATGGGGCTGGGCATTTTAGGAGGTTGCTTTTCCCCCTTCTTTTGGTCAAGATTTCTACCTATATTCCTAGAGAACTTTTTCTCAAAAAAAAAAAATTTTTTTTTTTGCTATAGAATACATGCTGGAGAAACAGACGAGAGAGAGAGATCCTGCCACAATCCCTTCTCCTCCATTCTCCTCTCGGGGTTTTGGGGACACATGCACAAGCACCTGGCGTGAGTTTTAAGCCACTGAGTCTAGGACTCAAAGTGTGCTTGACTATGTGGGAGTCCAGAGACGTATCCATTACGCCAACTGCTGGTCCTGGGAACACGTTTTAAAAATTTTGTTTTTCTGTTTCTACTCCAGACTTCGTCATTCATATTTCTTGAGCAGTGAATTTTACTGTGGAAGTTCTTATACCAATAGTTATGTTTATTGCAATCTTATTACCAACCACAGATTTGCAGATGACTGAAGGTATGTGAAATGAAAATGAGTTCAAACACTGACCTGCATATCTGCTTCAGAGATTTTGAAAGCTAGGAATACATCAGTTATATATATATATATGTGAAAATGCAGTGCCCAACAGTAATGACAACAAAAAAGAGCTTTTCTAGTTGTTACAATGAGGCTGAATAATCAGAAACAAAAAATACAGGGGGAAAAAAGTCAGTGGGGGGGAGGGGGCAGCACGTGGTGTGGTGGTTAAAGCACTAGATTCCCACGTCTGACTAAGGTTCAAGCCCCAGTCCTAATTGACTGAAAGTCACACTGGGTACACGTGCATGCCCCAAATCCCAAAAGAACGGAGGACAAAGGGCTGCAGTGTGGCTATCTCCCCTGGGAGTGATTTTTTCATTTTCCTTCTCTCTTTCCTGCAAGCGCATACACCCTATGGCAAAAACCTTAAATAAATAAAGTCATACTATACAATGCTGTATGTCCTCTGATCAATGTATATTTTCATTTAAGTAAACCCAATGACCCTCTGTGCTAAAAAAAAAAAAAAAAAAAAAGGAAAAAAAAGAAAAAAAAACCGGACTGCCAGATTACTTAAGGGCGAGGGGTCAGAAGAGAGGAAAGATTAAATAATACATAGACATGTAAAATCTAGTGTCTGAAGAATAGAGGTAGACAAAGTATCCCTAAAGATAGAAAAGGTACGACCTAAAAAAAATAAGTAGAAACAGGTGATTTAGGCACTAGGAAATTTGTTAAATAGAAATTATTTCAAATGCTTTCCCTTGGCAAGAATTTATTCAACTCTATTCTGTGTCTGGCACAGCTGAACATTAGCCTAATTTGGATCTAGAGCAAGAAACGAAAATGACAGTGGTACCTCTTTAGTAATTTTCTTAGAGTATAGATAGCCTATTCTAGTTTCTTGGCAATTTTCTTTTTTTGTGATAGGGTATGTGTGTTTGCTGGAAACAAAAAGGAAATCACCCCCAAGGGGGAGAGCCAATCCACAATCCCATCTCTTCTGTTCTCTCAGGATTTTAGGCATGCACGAACAGGTGCCCAGCATGTTTTACAAGTCAGTGAGTGTAAGACACAAACTGCAAAATCAGTCACGTGGGATCCAGCACCTTAACCACTACCTGCTGGCTCCTCTCTCTTTTTTTTTAATTAATTGCGAGAGGGTGCGTATATTCACTAAAGAAAGAGAAACAAAGGGAGAAAGCATCCCCTAATGCGGCATAGTCATGCCGCAATCCCTTCTCCTCCTCCACTATACCATCCTGTCTAGATTTGGGGCATGCATAGTCATAGCTAGTGTATTTTTGAAAGTCACTAAGAACAGGATTTGAACCATAGTCAGTCATGTGGGATCTGGATCCCTTAACCATCAAGCTACAAAAGGGCTGGCCCAACAATTTTAATTCTAATAGGAAACTTTTCTATGAGTTAGTTTATACTAACCATATTTCTTTAACAGCATAAAGAAACCAACACAACATTCAAGACAGAACTTAAAACCTTCATTAATTTTAATGATAAAACATTTTGAATTGTCTTCAAATTTCCACATTTTAGAAAGGTAAATGCTAACTGCAAATAAACAGGTAAAATTAACAAGAACAAGGTGGGCTCCCTATAACAGTTTCAGTTATGGGAAAAACGTCTATCTCAATAGCAAGTAGAATTTTTTAATGGTAAGACAATGAGTTGAGTCTTTACTCTAACAAGCCCAATCTAGTAAAAAAAAAAAAAAAGAAAATACAATTTTAAAACAAACACATATTTATATTTTCAATTCACTTCCTTTTAAGAAAAAAGTCCCCACTTCTTCAGAATAGAGAAACATAATAAAACAAAAAACCCTAAAAGAGTAGGGACATTATTCTTGTCTAATACGTGCAGCAACAGCTACACCCAGTGGCCAAAGATGAGTACTGAAGTTTTCTAGCTATACTGTTAATACAGGAAAAATTTAGAAATAGCCATTTTTCGATTTATTTAAGGTTTTAGGATAAGGGTCATCCTTTACAGCAAAGAAGGTTTCTAAGAAAATACTGGAGAATCTTTTGAGAACAAAGGCTCCTAAGTTTGATGCGAGTGTCCAAAATAATTGCTATTTTTAAAAAAAGGTGCTAAAATAAAACTCAAACCAAAGCCAGAACGTACAGATACTTTATTGCTCACCTTTCACACAAAGCACACCTCCAGCCATCTTCTTTCACAGCTTGACAATGTTTAACGTATACAAAAACCCAGCAATAAGCATCATGTCATGTAGATTTCAGTAAAGGAGAATGTAAAACATCAACTCAGCCAGGCTTTTGTTTTCTGCAGCAATAATAAAGGGCCTCCTGTACTAAGCAAAAAAAAAAAATCTGTCTTCTTTCGTAGTGCATTTCTTCCATTATACAAAAGTCTCCTGCCTAAAGCAAACTAACTTGTATTTGCTGAGCCAGTGGTATTAACTCGTGCATAAAACAAATTTCAGTTTGCTATTTCTTCTAGCAGATTTCAAGTAAAAAATAAGGTTGAAAGAGAACTTGTTTTGGATGGATGCAGGTCAGTTTGAATTGCTATACTTAACTAAATGCCTACATGTACTATAGGTTCACAACTTAAGTTTTTTTTTTTTTAATAATCTTTAGGGATTTTGGCCGTGTTCAAGGTGTTCAGAGTGGAGCATATGGTACAGTATTCCATCAACAGAATAAGGCTACTGAATGTGCTATCTGCAGAAGAGCTCATTTAATAGGAACTGACTTAAAAGTTGTATCAAGAACCAAACGTGGCATAACCTCTCAATAAAAAGCCAATCGAGGCAGAACTGTGCTTGGAAAGAGGCATTAGAATACTTTTAAGCAAAACACATATAAGTGGATTGTTAATATGAGGAACGTTTCCTAGTAGTAAATCTTAAAAAGTCTAGGCGATCTTAAAAAAGTCTAGGCAAATCTTCATTTTCAAAACTGCATATTGAAAACTACTTAATTCAAGTAATTTCTTCAGAAAAGTATGCCTATCCTGACAGTGAAGTTAGTCTACTAGTCAATTAAAGACAATTTTCATCACCTTTTTAAATTTTTTTCATAGAAAGGAGAGATGGTGTATGTGTTTCTCAAATAAACAGTTTTATGTCAGTCCATTAAAAAAGAAAAAAAAAAAAACCACCAAACAAAACAAAAAAACTAGAATTGAATGAAGACCGACAAATGCTGATGCCAAGCAGGAATCTGCCTGCCACCTGAGGTCTCACATTAATTCAATATAGATGATGGATTCAGGATTCTGAAACTAAGTTTCTATTACTTGAGCTCTAGCAAAATGTAAGGTTCTGTAGCCTCAACTAGTATAATGTCTTCCCTGTCCAAATCCAGAATGATTATACTGATAACCTCCATGCTGGAAGTGCTGTTCAAACTGACCCCCTTGGTGATAAGTCTGGCTCCCCCTGCCTCCCCAACCTCCCCCCTGGCCTCCACGACCACCTCTCCCTCCCCGACCACCTCTTCCTCCCCGACCACCACCTCGATCACCATGATGACCGCCATCTTGGTATCTGTTGTCCTGCTGGTATCCACCACCCTGGTATCCACTTCCTGTATATGAAGATGTTTGGAAGCCACCATAGCCACCACCTTGATAACCACCACTGTGGCCACCATGGTAGCCACCCGGCTGGAAACCTGAATCTCGATAACCACCATCTTGGTAGCCTCCTCCTCCACTCCCTCCATCTGTCCAGCCTCCTTGATGTTTATTTCCTCTTCCTCCCCCTCGGCCACCATGGTCATAGCCACCACGTCCACCTCTCCCTCCTCCTTGTTCGTGACCTCCTCGTCCTCCATATGAGGAATGTTCAAAGCCACCTCTCCCTCCTCCTCGGCCTCCTGCTTGCTGCTGGGGACCATCTTGCCTTTTTTGCCACGGTGGCATCTCTGGGGGTGGAGGTTCAATTTCATTGGGTCTGCCACCTCTGTCAGGCACCCTGCCCATCAAAACCTATAGAATAAGAAAAGTTATTTTATAAACTAGCTCATTTTATAAACAAAAATGTATTTAAAAAAAAAAAAACTAAAGGTATTCTAATCACCTTTTTTTTTTTTTTAATAATCTTTAGGGATTTTGGCCGTGTTCAAGGTGTTCAGAGTGGAGCATATGGTACAGTATTCCATCAACAGAATAAGGCTACTGAATGTGCTATCTGCAGAAGAGCTCATTTAATAGGAACTGACTTAAAAGTTGTATCAAGAACCAAACGTGGCATAACCTCTCAATAAAAAGCCAATCGAGGCAGAACTGTGCTTGGAAAGAGGCATTAGAATACTTTTAAGCAAAACACATATAAGTGGATTGTTAATATGAGGAACGTTTCCTAGTAGTAAATCTTAAAAAGTCTAGGCGAATCTTCATTTTCAAAACTGCATATTGAAAACTACTTAATTCAAGTAATTTCTTCAAAAAAGTATGCCTACCCTGACAGTGAAATTAGTCTACTAGTCAATTAAAGGCAATTTTAATCACCTTTTAAAAATTTTTACATAGAAAGGAGAGATGGTGTATGTGTTTCTCAAATAAACAGCATTATGTCAGTCCATTAAAAAAGAAAAAAAAAAAAACCACCAAACAAAACAAAAAAACTAGAATTGAATGAAGACCGACAAATGCTGATGCCAAGCAGGAATCTGCCTGCCACCTGAGGTCTCACATTAATTCAATATAGATGATGGATTCAGGATTCTGAAACTAAGTTTCTATTACTTGAGCTCTAGCAAAATGTAAGGTTCTGTAGCCTCAACTAGTATAATGTCTTCCCTGTCCAAATCCAGAATGATTATACTGATAACCTCCATGCTGGAAGTGCTGTTCAAACTGACCCCCTTGGTGATAAGTCTGGCTCCCCCTGCCTCCCCAACCTCCCCCCTGGCCTCCACGACCACCTCTCCCTCCCCGACCACCTCTTCCTCCCCCACCACCACCTCGATCACCATGATGACCGCCATCTTGGTATCTGTTGTCCTGCTGGTATCCACCACCCTGGTATCCACTTCCTGTATATGAAGATGTTTGGAAGCCACCATAGCCACCACCTTGATAACCACCACTGTGGCCACCATGGTAGCCACCCGGCTGGAAACCTGAATCTCGATAACCACCATCTTGGTAGCCTCCTCCTCCACTCCCTCCATCTGTCCAGCCTCCTTGATGTTTATTTCCTCTTCCTCCCCCTCGGCCACCATGGTCATAGCCACCACGTCCACCTCTCCCTCCTCCTTGTTCGTGACCTCCTCGTCCTCCATATGAGGAATGTTCAAAGCCACCTCTCCCTCCTCCTCGGCCTCCTGCTTGCTGCTGGGGACCATCTTGCCTTTTTTGCCACGGTGGCATCTCTGGGGGTGGAGGTTCAATTTCATTGGGTCTGCCACCTCTGTCAGGCACCCTGCCCATCAAAACCTATAGAATAAGAAAAGTTATTTTATAAACTAGCTCATTTTATAAACAAAAATGTATTTAAAAAAAAAAAAACTAAAGGTATTCTAATCACCTTATTGATGGCACAGGCAGTCTTTTCTCTTATAGAGCCACTACTTGTCCTTAAAATCTTTGACAAGTCTTGCCTTGCAGCCAAAAGATTGGCAACAGAAATAGTACTTTTTGGAGATAAGACTGAACGTTTCGGCTGGTAAACTTTGGCTAATTTTTCCGTCTGGCTCTGTTGAAAGAAAAGTGTTCAAAGACAAATGTCAATTTCAAAAATGGTATGACACGGTCATATTAAATAAGTTAGAGAGTTCCAAAATATCTGGTAATAGTATTTATTAATAATAGGCTCCAGGTAATAGGAAAAGTTACATACTCACCACTGTTCCTACCTAGTCAAAAACTATCTTAAACAGCTGTCAGATGTAAAGATACAGCGAGGAATAATGATGGAACAAGGGTGGGGTGGGACAGCCCGTTAGGATTGTGGGGCTGAAAATGTAAAGGTTTCCCCTGTCATTGGTCTCAGATCACACATAATCATTTTCTCTACTTAAATTTAAGAATGTAAACCCATTTCTCTGTAATTAGAACATAGTATTTGGTCATACTATAGAATAAATTCAGTATTTTAAACTTCAGTTAGCAAATTATTAGTTTAAAAAGTAATAAACAGGGCCAACCAGGTGGCACGGAGGTTACATACAGATCCGGATCCCTGGACCTTTACATGTCCGACTCCAGTTTCGAGTTCCGGACCATACCAGGCACATGTGCATTTATGCCCAAAATCCCAGGAGGAGAAAGGACCGCAGCATGGCCACCCCACAGGGGGTAATGTCTCACTTTATCTCCCTGGTGAGCACATGTACCCTATAGAAAAAAACTAAAAACAAAAAAAAAAAAAAAAAAAAAAAAAAAAAAAAAAGTAAATAATTTGAAAATAATTTATTATTTTAGTAATCTTTGGACTAATTACCTGTTTCTCTAACAAATGGATACTTCCAGTAAGAACTTTAAAATTCAGTTTTGGTAAAAAAATTAAAAAACTGAAGAAGAAATGTTTGCATTACAGCTAAAAGAGTTATTACTTAGCAACTCACTAAGGAAATACTCCTATGAGTGTCACTTATGTATTTCTTTTACAGTCTCCATCTAAACTATTTAGATGTTTCTTACTCATGTCTATAAATACTCCACTTGGGGTCAGCCAGTGGCATGGTGGTAAGGTGGCTGAATCCCACATGGCAGACTACACGGTTTGAGTCTTTGACTTGAGAGCTTAAAAAATATGCCAGGCACATGTGCATGCATGCCCAAAATCCTGAGAGGAGAATGGAGAAGAGTTTGCAGCATGACCGTCCTCCCTAGAAGGGTGCTTTCTTCCCCTCCCCATTATCTCTCTCCAGTGCACACGCTCTACAAGCAAAAAAAGTTCAAAACAAAACAAAACAAAAACATCTGCTCTCCTGAATTATGTAATGTGTACCTTAGCTCTGTCAGACCAGCCAAAGGACTGTACAGTGACATCCAAACGTTTTATTAGCAGTTTTCTCCGGACTTCGTATTCATTGGCTATGGCTTGATTAATTGCTTCTATCTTTTCCTAAAGCAATATTAAAAAGACCAGTTAGAATTTAAATCTGCTTGATCCTCTGTTACAAAGGGCAGAAACTGTGTCTACCTCACTCACAACTGAACTCTTAGAACTTAACACACATAATATTGAATAGTTAATGAAGGAAAGGCAAACAGTGTTAAGTCTCAAAACATAATAAATAATATGCAAAGTACATAATTCTTAGTTTTCCCATAATTCACTGTGTGAAGCTCAGTCCAAGAAGTTTTTGATTTAAAAGCAATTAAAAATGTGTCACAATGAATTTCAATTTAGTTTAATCAGTTATGTGGAATATTTACAATTTATAAGTGCTTCTAATCTTCCAGACATAAAACTAATGTGCATAAATTTTGAGATTCACAAGAACTCTAAGGATGCCCGCTTAAACAACTATAGATTAGGGAACAATTTCAAAAGCACAAAACACAAGTGAATGCTGGCACGAAAATCACGTAGTAGATGGTTCCTTAGAAAGTTTACCTGAGATGATCGCTACTCACCCAGTGGGCTGGTCCCATTGACTTCTTCAATAAAGGCTTTCCCACGTGATTAGGTGGAACTTTTGCTAAAGTTTCCTTTAACTGACACAAAAACATAAATAAATGAATAAAAAAATCTAAACTTAAAACACATCCTCCTCATCTTCCCAATTCCCTCATATCTTGCCATCAAAAGAAGACTCCTGACAGAGGCAAAGGTGTTTTGAAATGTAAATGTAAAAGACCCACAAGATATAAAGACACTGGCTTGTTCTACTCCTCAGGTGCCTATTGAAGCATGATTCCTTCACTGCACCTAGAATAGTGCCTGACAACAGCTGGCACTCAATGAGCACTTGCTGAATGGATGAATGAACACAAAGAAAAATATGGACTACAGATACACTGCTGCTCCCCGGTAGAGTTCAGCCAAATCTGTGCATCACGGTGCTGATCTATATCCCACAAGGCACAAGTACCAATTCTTGGAGTCCAGCAGGTACGCATATGGGGAATAAGTCTGCTATAACAAATACCATTCTCTTCTACCCATTAATTTGTTAAAATGGCTTCTTCCTAATAAATTATATTTAAAATCTTAAATGTTGATAATGTGTGATATAAAAATAATTCTAATTTATGTTCATTTACTAGATTAGGTTAGCAGTCAACAGACCTAACTTGCCAACTCAAACACATGAGACCTGAAATGACTGGATTCAAAAACAAAATATGAACATTCTTTTCAGTCCAGTCACTGGAGAGAAGGGTGGTAATATCTGACAATAAAAACCTTAAAAAAATCAATTGCCTCAAAGTTCAATGATTAAATAATTTTAGAAAGGACTAAAATTTGAATCCTTTTTACATTTTATCTAGCTTACTGCAGTTTATAAATCAAAGTGCCAAGTTTCCTTTTTGAAAGAGAAACAGTCTAATACGTTTTTAGAAAAATACTAAAATGCACTAATTTTTTTTTTAAGGCATGTAGGATTTAAAACCCAAAAGTCATTTATTAACAACTACTTAATAATATGCACATTAGGTTCCCATTAAGAGAAATTAACGTAATCGTTTCATTTCAAACAAATGTAGGACTATGCCTTTAATACACTACAATCTGGTACTAAAGGTCTTACTTTTTTCTCAATCCCGCTGAAGAATTGGAACATAGTTATATTGGCTGGAGGTTTGGACATTCCTAGAGCAATACATATGCCTTTCAACTCTTGAAAGACCTCACTACCGCCTCCTTCTTGAGCTTTTTTTGGAGGAGCATTCACACAGAGCATTCTGGCAGCTTCTAGTTCTGAGATGAGGTATGCTGAAGTAAACAAAATAAGATTTCAAAATGAGATACAGCTACAGTTAATTGTCATAGTCTGGAGTCACAACTCTATAGACCTAGTGATATGTAACTTTTAAAGCTGCAAGAATGGATAAAAAACAAGAAAGGAAAACCGCTTTTACCTACAAACGACATAACATACAAACTGGTTATGTAATTCAGGTACTTAACCGACACATACAGTTTAAAGGTTAATTTAAAAATAAGCAATTCTTCTTTGAAACCAAAAGATCAAGATAGATCCCATGTTAAACTCCGAATTGTTGCCCTCCATTACTAAAGAACCTCCAGAACAGGGGTTGGCAGTGTTTAAAAATGTGCAGAACGTCGCAAGTGCCAATTTCTAGTGATAGTTAAATATATTCTTTTCCCTCTACTTCTTATCACTTGTGACTGTCAGTGATAAAACTACTTTGCCCTCTTATCTCCCAGTAATCAGGAGTGTGACTAGAACTGGTATGAAGCAACATTCTTAAGTAGATGAAGTTTAACTTACAGAGAAGTGGGAAGGCACTTAACTCCCCAAAGTACCACTGCTGTGGTCTCCAGAGCCCTAATGTCACCCTCTAGTATGTAAAGAAAGCCTTCTTCTATCTATATTGTTCTCATGGGTGCCTTTCTTTTTCTCACTGCTTTCACTAAAAAATAATAAACCTTTCAAATCTTAGGGCTGGACGGTAGCCTAGTGGTTTGGAAGCCAGATCCCATATGGCCAACTATAGTTCAAATCTTGGCCCCTGCAGCTTGAAAGAGATGGTGGGCATATTATGTGCATGCTCCAAATCCCAATGGAATGGAGAAATAGAGGAGAAAAAATTGTGGCGTGACTGTACCACACTGGGAGGACACTTTCTCTCTCCCTCCTTCTCCAGCAATTTAAAAAAAGGACAGTTTGTATCTTGGCAGAATCCCCTCTGTGTGTTGATTTCAGCCAGGTATGAGGGGGGCTACAATCTGCTTCAGGTAACTCAGTAGAAAGTACAAATATTCAACGTGTTTCTTTAACCTTTCCAAGGACAGTTCAATTTTCAGAAAAGATGATTAATAATCATTTGAATCTTAGAATTTCAGGTGATGTGACAAAGTGAGATCCTTTTGACAATGTAAAAAAGATCATTTTGAAAAAAGACATTTTTCTAGGCTCTTAAAGTACTGTTAGAGGAGCAAACGAATGATCAGCACGAACATCTCATTGCCTACACGTAGCGAGGTGTAATGCTAGAAGCATAAGAGCCGTAACTGTGGCAAATCATGCAAATCATTCCTATTTGAGGACAACAGATACAGTTAAGTTTCTGGAAAGGCCATTCTAAATGGGTGTGATAAAATCTTAATGTGCTCCACAGAGCAAACTGTATTTAGGAGTAAAAAAATCAAAACAGTACAACCTCACTATTATGAAAATAACCACGCTTTTGTAAGTGACGTCTCACTAGCACACTGCCACACTCATTTGTTTACATACCATCTATGGCTGCTTTCACACTACCACAAGAGTTGAGTAGTGACAGAGACCTAGACCCACAAAGTTAAAAACACTCATTATCTGGTCCCTCAAATTTGCCAACCCTTGTTCTAGAAAATCATATATTATATGATTTAAGAAACTGGTTCTCTAAATTGGGGACAACATAATTTAGGCATTCGTAAAATTAGTTTGCCAATATAATTACCATGAAAAAACTTTTATAATCAATGTGTTCAAAGCACTAAAAACAAAAAAAAATTATCCCTACTGACAATCTAGTTAAGAATTTTTTTCATGCAAAACAAAACAAAAAAACTCACAAAAAACAAACAAGGGTAAGTAGTTCTTCATCTGTTAGAACCCAGATATCTGAGTTAATTTACCCAAAATAAATAATCTGGGAACTATAAAAGGCCAATGAAAAGCCAAAACAAAGTCCATAATCTGGTATGTGAAGAAGAGTATTTTCCAGCCACTCACTCAAAGGCTATTCTATTTTATTAACAACTCTAACAAGGTAGGTTTATTCTTCCACCCCCCCAACATACAATGTGCTAAATGATTAAAACTGGACAAAAGTGCTAGAATAAGTAAAACTAGAGTCAAGACGTGAAAATTGATCCTGGAAAGATGAGAAATACACAAAGCAAGTACAAAATGAATACATGCACGTAAATATTAGGAGAAAAGAGAGGTTACACATAGAAGAGAATATTTTAGAAAAGGGGAAACAGCAGAAGCAAAGATAAAGAGGAAAAGAGTGTTGATGTGTGTAAGAAGAATCAAAAAAGCAAGTAACCTGTGGTTGATTTAGTCACTTAGTTGACAAAGAGTTGTACATCCTTGAAAAACTTTTGCAATCATAGCATATTAAAATAAAGTCTATAATTACTTATTAGTTCAAAACATTGTTCAATGCACTCTGTTTAAGAAACAGGAAAGAGTTAATAGCATTCTATAAAGATTTACAAAGTGGTTTTTAAAAGTATCAGTGTTAGAAAGGCCAGACTCTCAGCTCTTTGGAAGAATTAGCTATGCAAGGTCATTACTAAACATTCTCCACGCTATTATCTTTCTATGTGCACAGCACATGTTGTTTTCTAAGAGCCTAATATTACTGGTGAGAATAAGCAGTGCTACAAAGGAAAGATCAGTTATTATACTGCTGCTGAGCCAGTTACAGAAATGACGAAACTTGACAGATACTAAATGAATGAATAAAAACTATATGCAGCAATATTACCTAACGCAATACCTAACATCACATGCACAGTCCTCCAGGAACAATCATTTAACAAAAGAAAAGTTAAGAATGAGATTCTGGAATAATTTAATGTCTAATTATAATGGCTATATGTGTTAAAACTGAACCTTTAGAACCAGCAGATGGCGTGGTGATTAGGGCACTGGACATCCCCACATGGCCAACCACAGTTCAAGTCCCGACATGGTGGCTTGCTTTTTCACTTTCCCTCTCTCTCTCTCTCTGGATAAATTAAAATAAGTGATTGAATTTATTTAAAATTAAATAAATATTTCTTGTAAAAAAAAAAAAACTGAACCTTCAGAACTGGAGTCGTATCATTCATTTCAAAAGCCATAGTACAGTTATCAAGTCAAAACATTAATAAAAATCCTCTAAATTGTGTTTGTCATATTGGCAGCTATAATATTCAGTTAACTTAATCTGAACAATACTTCAAATCAAAATTACAAAACTTCTTGAGTTGGGACCAGCAGATGTAGTCGACTGTGGTTCGAGTCCAGGACCCAGTGGCTTAAAACTCACACCGGGTTGCATGTGAATGCGTGCCCAAGATACCGGGAGAATGGAGAAGGGATTGCAGCTTGGTCATACCCTCTGGGGGGGTGACTTCTCCCTTTCTGTCTCTCTGGTGAGTGCATGCACCCTATAGTGAAAACCTCTCTTAAAAAAAAAAAATTCTGGGGATCCAGTAGTTAGCGTAATGGCTATGTCGCTGGACTCCCACGTAGTCGACCGCAGTTTGCATCCCGGACCCGGTGGCTTAAAACTCACACCAGGCGCGCGTGCGTGCGTGTCCAAGATCCCGAGAGGAGAATGGAGAAGGGATTGCGGTGTGACCATCCCCCCTGGGGGGGTGATTTCTCGCTTTCTGTCTCTATGTCTCTGTCTGTCTGGCGAGCGCACGCGCTCCATAGCAAAAAAAAAAAATTCTGAGTTAAAGTTATTTGTTGTGTTTATTAGAAAGTTCATCAAAGACAATAAAATTTGTGTGTTCACTTACTGTTTTTGAGTAAAGAGACAAAGAGTTGCTAGTATATAAAAAAAGTGAAAGGTAGGAACCAGCAGGTAGCATGGTGGTTAGGGGATAGACTCCCACATGGGCGACAGTGGTTTGAGTCCCAGACCCAAAGGTGTGTTTTCTCACTCTCTCTCTCTCTCTGCTGAGCGCACATACCTGAAAGCAAATTTTAAAATAATAATAAACAGAATTAAATAATTATTTTTTTAAAAAAGTGGAAGGAGAGAACTTTTCATAAAACTTCATTTCCCAGAATAACCAGGAAACACAGGAAGAATCCAAGCATTATTCCAGAATATTTACAAACAAAACCAAAACTCCCAATTATCCAAATACAAAGAAATATCAATACAAAATACTTTAAATAATTACATTAACCATTAATTATATCTAATGAATGTTTACTCTCCTCAAAGAAACTGCTAAAAAAAAAAAACTCCATTATACTCCCCACTTATTTTAAAATATGCTTCTAATCTACAATGCAAAGGTTTAACTTAATGATCACACACCATCACACACTTGAATAGCACTCCAGAACTAGATGAAGCATAAAAGCCTAAGTACCTCCAAGGCTGAAACAGTAAGAGTATCAATTATAAAAACAAAATGCTCCCAGTGTCCATGTGCACCATTAGCTCCTAAATTGAAAATAGATAGTATTTTGAATTAAATCCATACCGAAGCAAAAACAAGAACAACCAGTCTACTAGTCACAGAAAACAAAAGTAGAAGACAATGACTACATTCTAGTAGCCATGAACTTACTGAGCAAGAGGAGGCAGTTCTTCTGAACGAGAAGGCGCTTGGTCACATCCCCGGAAGTCAAGGAAAGATACGGGCAGTTCATCTCCCCTAGAAGCCCACTCACCTCAAGCTGGAATTCTTCAGCTTCACTCGGACCTTTTAAGAATTAAAACAATCTTACTTAATAATACAACTTTTCTCATTATTGTAATTATATATAAGTTGAAATTTTTAATTTGATTTTCCTAACTCAAGCTCCTTTCCTTCTAACTCATCTTTTCTCATACCACTGCAAATTTTGCTTACTTTTTTTGGAGAAATTTTTTTGCTCACTGGAGACAGAAAGAAATGGAGAGAAAGTGAGACATCATCCCCTGGGGGGATGGCTATTGCAATACTTTCTCCTCCATTCTCCTTGGGGAATATTTGACCCACCAGCACACATGCCAGGTGTGTTTCAAGCTGCCAGGTCACGGACTCAAACCACTGTCGGCCATGTGTGAGTCCAGGGCCTTAACCACCACGCCACCTGCTACCCCCAAATTTTGTTTCTTTTTCTTTTTTTATTTTTGAGAGTTTTTTTTTCTTTTCTTTTTTTTTTTTTTTTTTTTTTTTTTTTTTTCATACACTCTCCAGACAGACAGAGAGATAGAAAGCAAGAAATCACCCCAAAGGGGGGATGGCCACGCCGCAATCCCTTCTCCTCCATTCTCGGGATCTTGGGAACGCACGCACATGCACCCGACGTGAGTTTAAGCCACCGGGTTCAGGACTCGAACTGCAGTGGACTACGTGGGAGTCCAGCGACACAGCCATTACGCTAACTGCTGGTCCCCCAAATTTTGTTTCTTAAACAATGTTAAGTAGGTTACTCTCTTTATTTGAGAATTTTGATGACTCCCAGATTTCTACCTTATTCACCTAATATTTTCTGCTTTTCAAAAATTATTTAATTATTATTTATTTTATTTTACAATTCTTCAATTTGAGGGACAGAGAAAGGCAGAGAAATCACCCCAAAGGGGGGATGGCCACGCCGCAATCCCTTCTCCTCCATTCTCGGGATCTTGGGAACGCACGCACATGCACCCGACGTGAGTTTAAGCCACCGGGTTCAGGACTCGAACTGCAGTGGACTACGTGGGAGTCCAGCGACACAGCCATTACGCTAACTGCTGGTCCCCCAAATTTTGTTTCTTAAACAATGTTAAGTAGGTTACTCTCTTTATTTGAGAATTTTGATGACTCCCAGATTTCTACCTTATTCAATTCACCTAATATTTTTTTCAAAAATTATTTAATTATTATTTATTTTATTTTACAATTCTTCAATTTGAGGGACAGAGAAAGGCAGCATGAGAAAGCAAGCCGCCAAGTCTGGGACTTGAACCATGGTTGGCCATGTGGGAGTCCAGTCTCTCTGTCTGCCTATAAAGATTCCTTACAGAAACTCATGTTTGCTCTTTCCAGCACATTCAGCTACAATCACCTTACTACATCTTCAAATAGTCCCTCTATTTGTGCCAGGCCAGTCTCCTCGCTGTCTCAGTTGGTCTGATTGCCACTTTTACACCTTTATTTATGTCAGTTCCCATGACTGATATGCCTCTACTCTCCTCTAACAAATCCCACCGATCCATCAAAGTCAAGTAGTTCTGTCCTTGATAAAACCTTTCCTAAATACTCTTGTACTCATTGATTTCTTCCTCCTGTGAAATGACCAAGTAAATCGCAGGAATTACTGTACTAATCTCCAACTGTTTCATGTGTGCCTAATATTCACAGTTAGACTAAATTTGAAGACAGTAAAATGACATTGTTGTGTGCTCCCATACATGCAAAAAAGTACAGAGATCATCAGGTGCGCCGAGGAAAAATACAATGTTTTTTTACTATTTGTTCTCTACATGTTATTAGAGGTGGAAGGAGAGTAGAAATCAACATACTTTGTGCGAATAACTTAACCAGAGACTGTTTTTTCATATGTAAACCAAGGAGACTGTAAATTGTGACCTGTGAACCTTGGAGTTCTACAAAGCTCCTTCAGTAGCAGCTGGGGAGGAGGAGGAACAAGAGTTGAGCTAGGCATACTCCTCTCTATTTCAAGTAGAACAGCTATATTTTTTTAAAGAATTGTTTTATTTAACTTCATTTATTTATTTATTTTTAATTTGACCAGGGGGTGGGGTGGGGGGAGAGAGAGAAAGTGAGAAAGCAAGATGCCAGGTTGGGACTCGAACTGCAGTTGGCCATGTGGGAGTCCAGTGCCCTTAGTCACCATGCCACCTGCCAGCCCTGAACAGCTATACTTTTATGTTAGCTTTATAATATTTCATTTGAACAAAGAGCTTTAGGTTAAAAAGAGCTACCATCTAGTATAGGTGGTTTTGAATATTCTGACAGTCTCTGAAAAGTAAGACTAAGAGGCAGTACAGACGAGTACAAAGACCCCAAGCTAAATGGCTCCAAAAACCTGAACAGAAATTTCATTATCTAAAGCCTTGCCAATCAAGACTGCCCAAGAGATGATCACGCCCTCTTGAACCAGCCATTAAACTGATCACGTGCTTGGGTTCCCTGCCCCTAATTTTCCCCTGACAAATGAGTATGAGGAACACCTCAGGGAGACCAGGTCTTTACAGCAAGAGCTGCCCTCTCTCCTTGCTTTGCACTTTGCAATACAGCTGTACTTTCCTTCAGCTAAACAAAACAAAACAAAACAAAAGAGGCAATACAGAACAGTGTTTAAGAGGTCTGAGTCCTAGCAGGGCCAAATGGTGGTGCAGTAGTAAAATATGACATTCTCCAAGGCTGACCCACAAGAAAGTTCTGCATTCATGACCACAGACCTCCCTGATTACGCCAGACATGTGCGTGCCCATGATCTAGGGCTAGCTGAAGCTGGGAGTGGATCATAGTACCAAGATCTTGTTGGGAATACTATCCCTCCACCTCTCTCATTCATGGAAGAAATAATAACAAAGCAACTTTAAATTAAAAAGCAACAAAACTCAGTACTGGCTCCTGGCTCATCCACAATGGTACATACCAACCACAACACTACTACCTGAAGGCTAAAGCCACATGGGAGGCCTGGGTTCAGTTCCCAGTCCATGCTAAAAAGTGTGGTCTTAGCTAGTTGGGAGGCTAGTGATAAGAATCCCAACACAGTGAAATCCTGACAACAATCTCTATCTCAAGTGAACTTTAAAAAATAAATACAAAATAAAAGGTACAGTGGGGCTCCTGAACTTGACTGCGGAGACTGAATGCTAGTTCTACCTTTTATAGGTTATATGACCTCAGACGAGGGAGTAGGTCTGTTAAGGCTTTTTCATTCACATGTAAGAGTAGTAAACCTGCCTCATAGGTTTCCCCTGAGGTTTAGGTGAGTTCATATGCGTCAAGTACTTAAAACACAGTGAGTGTTCAATAATGTAAGCTGCTATTGCTGTCAAACTACACTCTCCTTAATAATTCAAATGAGATGTGAGTAACATTAAATATATTTTCATGCAGGAGAGTGAGCTCTTCAAAATGGAATTACTAGGGAAAAAGTGATTCTGCAATTAGTTCTCCTAAAGGTGGATTAAAAGGTGGGCATTATGTTTTGTTTTTCTTGTATTATAGGTTTACTTCTGGCAGGAAGGAACCAGATGGTGGAGTGTCAGGTTTCAAGTTTTTGTCTGTTTTGCATAGTCTACAAACTAGTGCTAAATAACAAATCTGGCAAATACAAAACAGCTCTCAGTTCTATAAATCTGCTCCTGGTGGCTCTAGTTGCGATGTTATCTAGCAACAGATTTCAATGATCAAGCAAGCTTCTTAACATGTTATCTAGTGACAGATTTCAACGATCAAGCAAGCTTAACAAAGTGTTCCCTTTTTTCCTAAACATCAGATTATAGTGCATTTACTTTACGTGTTCTATGTGCTTCCAGAATTTCAGTCTACGTTAAAGAAAAACATCCCCAAATCTAGATCTAGACACCAAAGATCTCACAATTAATTTATATTTTACTAAGTATGGAAAGTTCATATATTCTATATTTGTGGTCTCCATTTTTCTGAATCTCAGTAACAGGGTCTTTTATTTCTTTTGTTTTGAGAGGTTTTTGCTATAGGGTGCGTGCGCTCGCCAGAAAGACAGAGAGAAACAGGGAGACAGAAAGCGAGAAATCACCCCCCGGGGGGATGGCCATGCTGCAATCCCTTCTACTCCATTCAACTCTTGCGATCTTGGGCATGTACACACATGCGCCCAGCGTGAGTTTAAGCCACTGGGTGTGGGACTTGAACCGCGGTTGACTACATGGGAGTCCAGAGACATAGCCATTACGCTATCTGCTGGTCCCAGTAACAGGGCCTTTCAAGCCTCTATAAACTTCTAATAGCTAATGACCATTCTGTTTTTTTTTTTAATAATAATTTTTACTTAATTTGTTTATTCCTTTTATGTTAATTTGACCAGAGAGAGACAGAGAGAGAGAGAGAAAGTGAGAAAACAAGCCACAAGGTCTGAGACTAGAACTATGGTCAGCCATTTGGGAGTGTCCAGAGCCTTAACCACCATGCCATTTGCTGGTCCCCTCATTCTGGTTTTTCAATTTCTGAATCATATTCTATCTAAAAGCAATGGAAGAAAAAAAAAATGTATCTTGCCTCTCCTTGACAAAAATTTCTCTACATTTACCAAACCCAGAAATTTCGGCTTTGGTACTGATAATATTCAGTTGACAACACTCCAATTTCAATTTATTTTCTACTCAAAAGTGAGCATTTACTTACTGTTTGTTGCTTGCACATTTTCTTCTAGTTTACAGAGGACTCTTAATTCAGACACCAGCCACGCACATAGTTTGGTAAACTCAGGGGAACTGGCTCCAGCAGAGACTGCCTGAGATAGAGCTCCATCTTCCAACAATGGACCCTTGTAACTGATGAGGAAGAAATTATACTTTAGAAGAATATAAAATTACCTTAATATGTTACAGAAAAAAAATCCAGCTGAAGAGCTGGAGAAAGGGGGTCATGGCAGGATGAAACTTTGTTGAGTATGTGCCCCCACCATGCACACGCCCTCTATAGTGAATTTAAAGAATAAACTCAAAATACGATTATACAATTAGGCAATAATTTAACAAAGATAGTTTACGACCTATTTCTAAACTTGAAAATATAAACAAAATTTAGAACTATATTGAACCACTAGAAAATTAGCTAAATGGTAACTGCCTCTCAACCCTTCAAATACATGTAAATATTCAACAGAATCACATACATACTGCTAAATCATGTCAACTTCTAAAGTGTACTTTTACTGAAAGATCTTATTGTACAGATTTATTTTCCGATTTCAAAATAATTGAATATGAAAACCAGACTAGTAAGTGACAGATAACTATACTATTATTTACTATTTCAGAAATAAAGCAGGTTATCTTTTCTAGAATTTTTTTCAAGAAATCAGTTAGGGAAACCAGAAGTTAGCGTAATGGCTATGTCGCTGGACTCCCATGTAGTAGACTGCGGTTCGAGTCTTGGACCCGGTGGCTTAAACTCATGCTGGGCACGTGTGCGTGGATGACCAAGATCCCGAGAGGAGAATGGAGAAGGGACTGCAGCATGGCCATCCCCCCTGGGGAATGATTTCTTGCTTTCTTTCCCTCTCTGTCGGGCAAGTACACGTGCCCTATAGCAAAAACCTCTCAAAAAAAAAGGAAATCAGTTAGGTTAAGTATTTTTCTTTTGTTTCTTTTAAGAGAGATTTTGCTATAGGGTGCATGCACTTGCCAGAGAGAGACAGACAGAGAGTGAGAAATCACCCCTCCAGGGGGTATGGCCAGGCTACAATCCCTTCTCCTCCATTCTCTTCTTGGGATTTTGGGCACGCGCTTACAAGTGCCCAGCTTGAGTTTTAAGTTGCCAGGTTCAGGGCTCTAGCCCTGGTAAACTACATGGGAGTCCAGCAACAAAACCATTATGCCATCTGCTGGTCCCAAGGTCAGGTTTTTAATAAATTCCTTTAATAGCAAAAAATCTAATTACTCTTACTCATTAATTTCCTTTTTCTAAATTTAATGGAACTTAAAAGTAGTAAGACATAAGAGTACCAAAGAAATGTCAAGACTAGTTTCATAAGTATTGGCCAGTTGATGAATTGGTACATCTGAATCCTAGTATAAGTGATCCTAGTTTATTTTTTAAAAATTATAAAACATTCAAATACTCATGGAAGATGGCAATAATGAACTCCAATCACCTGTATTCTATCATTTAAAATGCTGCCACTTCACTTAATCTTTTTTTAAAGAGTCACTTACTGATTTTATTTTTATTTGTTATTATTATTTTTTAATTTGACCAGAGAGAGAAAGGGAAAGTAAGAAAGCAAGCCAAGCTGCCAGGTCTGGGACTCGAACCATGGCTGGCCACGTGGAGTCCAGTGCTTCAATCACCATGTCACCTGCCGGCCCCTCCAATTACTCTCAAAATAAATACTGTTCAGAAGATTATATTTTTAAAAATGAAATGTAACAATACTGCTACTAAAGATGACATATACTGAACATACTTAAGACGAGGTCATATTTAGAGCTCCAAGTATGTCAGAGAAATGACAATTCTTGATCTCTAAAATACATTTATATATGACATGGAATGCAAAAAAAAAAACTTACACAAAAAATGAGACTGCATACAGTCTGGCCTCTAGATTAATAAACCTTCTATTATTAAATGCTGGAATAAAAACACTGGGCCTTGTCCTTTGTGTTTGAAACACACTCAGATTTAAGGAATTTATTCAACTAGTAGTTAGTGAATTCCTACTGTGTGCTAGGTTAAAGATAAAAGACAGTCATTTAATGCTAATATTTCTCAGTGAATCCTTTAAAACTACATCAATCAATTAAGGCAGAATTTTAAAGTTTGACTGCCACCAAGCTAAGCAATTAACAGGTTAAAAAAAGTTGTAACCTTTCAGAAAATCCCATGATTTACATTACAATTACTTGTTTGACTTCAATTGTTATGGTAGCAATTACTTTTCTAGTACCCAAGAAAAGAAAAATGGAGTTAAAAAATACTGGTAAGACACAGCATCCCTAGTCAATTCTTAAGTGACCTCCATCCAAGCACATTCAAATAAAATCTACCCCTTCCTCTCTTTCTACTCCTTCAACACTAACCTAAGTGTCACTTCTCCCAGGAAGCTTCTAGAACTTTATTTCCTCGCCCAGTAAATGGACCCTCCTCAGTGCTCTTCACACAATATTCTCACAATATTGTGAGTCTCTTTTCTACCTCACCTTGTACCCTAAATGTCCAGCCCAATACTGCCACAGAGCAACTGTTCCCCCAAAATGTTACTGAATGAATGGTTTAATGGGTGAGCAAACAATTCAGTCTGAGACATCTAATAAAGAGACCACCTTACTTATAGTTTTTACCTATACTGGAATGAAACAAATAAGTCCCCCTAAAGTATGGAGTTCAATAAAATTCAAAGCACGTTTCGAAGGGAAAAAGACAATAATTTACTTTGACCAAAAAAGATATGCACAATCATTTTCCTTCGTAAACTATTCCTACCAGAACAGCAAATTACTTAGGTTGGCAGACTTGGGGAACCAAATGTCCTTTCCTAAAGTTTTCTCTCAAAGGTGTCAGTATCATGGGGAAAAAAAACTCAGAAAAAGTTAGGATAAAAGACTTGTTACTTACAAACACACCTAGCTAAATCTTTTTTGGACACCGTATCAGTAGGGAAGTATTTAAGGACACAATTGCTTTTGGGAACCACTTTGGCCCAAGAGGCCCCAAGTTTAATAGGGTATACTGATTTGGGTTACTTAAGTGAGATATGAAGCCCTATTTCTACCTCGCGGATACTGATGAGTTATGGAGGAGGAAAGACAAAATGCGAAACAAATATGCACGTTCTCGGCGGGTGAAGACGACGCTGGGCTAACGGGGCTCCACGAGGCAGCGTCACTCAAGGACCCTGCCAGCAGTTCCCAGGGAGGACAGGTTAGGTGCACAAGTGAGCTAGCGGAACGGATGCAGCGCCCGGACATGTGGCTCGGGAGAGCCTGGGTGCGTGCAGAGAGATGACTGGGCAAAGGAGATTTTTGTTGAGAAGTGGGGTGGGGTAGGAGTAAGGGCTCAACACAGGAGCAGGAAATCTGGAGGGCACGTAGAAAAACAGAATCAACTTTGTCAACCCTGTAGAGTGGGCGGTAAGGCAAGAGGATAGGGAGCAAGGAGAAGCTCGCGGAGTGGGGGAGGCGAGAACCGAGCCCAGACAATGACACGCATGACTGACAAACGCTGCGGGTAACCCGGCTGCAGGGAGCACCGGGCAGGCCTGGGGGCGTGGAGCTGGAGGGCCGGTGCCGGCAGGGCGCGCCGGGAAC